CATCTATTAATATTTTTAAACGTCTGTAACAAAATTAATAACTTAGAAAAGTTGAAATAAAAAAAACCGGCAAAATTCTTTCAGTTAAATTTCCATTTTTTGTTTTTATTTTTGGTGCAACTGAAGAATGCTGAATGAAATCATAAGATGTAATCAATATCTACCATTTAATTTAAACGATTTTCATAAATGATCGATTAAGCAATTGTTTAATAATCGATCGACTAATGATAATGACCGATCAAGTAATTGTTTTTGTTTTCCATTCGCCCTTGTTAACTATGGAAAAGTAATTTAATTATATCAAAGATGAATTAATTAAATTTCAAGATAAATTAACCATGATACGACTTACTTATCAACGATTGATGAACATCCTCATATGACTCAATTTAAGAAAAAATAAACATGCAAGTTTTGCTTTAAAAATCGAAACTTAAAAAATTTGGATATGTTATTTACTGATTTAATGATGTAAGTTGTTGTTCGATCGCTCCATCACTCAACTTTTCCACTTCTATTTTTTCGGGTAATTCAACTTTCATGGCTGTAAATAAAGCAGTTACAATTAACTATGTTGGAAAATATTCAATTTTGAGGTTTAATTTAGATTTAATGATAATATTAACGGCAATATTACATAAAAATTATTGATTCGAAAACTGTTATTATTACAAATGAATTCTTCAGTATTTGATTCCAATTCAAATTCATTCCGCACTTAAAAACTCTTCCATGACGATTTTTTCTTTTCATTCATATTTATTACTTTCGTTTAACGTACTCTTTCAAAATGTTTGATTTAAAGTTATTGCCAGAAGTTAGATAAAACAATTAGCAACCTTTAATATCGTCAGTATTCATCAGAAGTGATTGAGATGCTCGAAGTCGTTGTAATTGATTTGTCTTTTCTGGTGGCGATTTTTGAACATTCAAAAGCGCTGTAATTAATTTATAATCCCATCAGTTACTCTCACATTATAACAAATTTGCATGGAAAATTTGAAATATTTTTTATATATATTGGATTTCATTCTTTATTCCATGTTATGAATTTCGATCAGTGATAAAAATTAAAACGTCAAAAATGTCTATGTGCACTTATGAATATAAAATAAGCACGATAATAATAATATTAATAAATATATACATGAAATGATAACAGATAATATCAGTGATTACATTTTCCACGAGTGATATCAGTGCTTTTTCCTGTTAACTCGCCACTTTTACTGGTTTCTTTTATATTGCCGGACACATCGATATTGCAGACCATTTCTGCATTTCGTGAAATCTCCATATCACGTGATAAATCATTCATATGAAATGGATCTACCACACTCGGTACATCCGGGTGTCGCGAAATGTCACCAATTGTGCTACATGATGTATTTGGCATTTGGATGTCTGTCGTACTATTATGGATTATCGCAGAGTTCTGGGAATGATTCATATTTTTTGGAGTAACTATGTTACGAGAAAGGTCAGCATTACGTATCGGTTCACTGTTACTGGAAACGTTAATAACACGCAATTCGATGGGTTCAACGCTACGGCTGATAATTGTTTCACGTGATGGTTCTACGTTACGGTTAATAATTGTTTCGCGTGATGGTCCGATGTTACGGCCAATAATTGTTTCATGTGATGGTTCAACGTTACAAATAGATTCGACGGAATGGGCAATTATACTACGAGATGTGTCGGG